GAGAGGTGGTGGATGCCCCATCCCTGGAAACATTCCAGGTCAGGCTGGACGGGGCTCTGAGCAACCTGCTCTAGTTGAAGATGTCCCTGCCCACAGCAGGAGGGTTGGACTAGATGACCTTTAGAGGCCCCTTCCAACCCAAACTATTCTATGAATCCAGCTCTTAGTGAGACAACTCATTACAGCAGAACCAAGGCCATCTACTGCAGCACCACCACCAGGAAGATGGTGTATAGATCAGGCCGTTCAGATTCACAGCGCTGCACTTCCTGGAATACAATATGCACATATGAAATACATTTGGTATTTTATTAAGTAAACAAAGCCATTATCAGTGCACATTGTAAGCAGCAAAAAGAAAAGAAGCACCTCAGACTTTCATACTGTAACAAAAGTTCTGTGGAAGCTGCATTTTATTTGAAAATCCACCCATTTTTGCTAACATACATTTTAATATTTTAAACAAAAATAGAATCTGCAGAGACAATGCAGCAAGTATGCTGAATTCATGTACAGAATTGCTTTCATATCATTGACTATCCTTCTGAAGGCCCCACTCCACCCAGAAGTTATGATGTATTTACACAAAGCACCGATCAACAGTGCTACTTTAATTCTTCGTTAACTAAATACCCACTAGACATATGTAAGGAAGCTACTTCCCCCTTTTTTACTTTTAAAAGGTACATGATCATAATCATGGCACTAGCCAAATGAAAAGGCTTTCCCCCCCAATGCACAAACACCTTTTTTTTTTATAACAGGAAAGAAGGAAAGTCTTAAAGTGAAAGCAATTCCTCACATTCATTTTGGAAAGGCCTTATAATGTCAAATGTAAAAATAATGACATGCCAAGCACAAAGCAATAAAGTTCCTTCCCAATGCACTAATGCTGAATTAAAAATGTAGTGCTTCTTCTAGTCAGTTAACTGTTCCCTTGCAAAATCCTAGGCACAGAATTGACTATAAGGATTAATGCATTTTACAGCTCTTCCCTAATTCCCATATATGCTGAGAATTCATTAGATTCAGACCTTTAAAATATTTAGTGCTCTGTATGTCAGCTGAAAAGCATTCTGAATCAGATTCATTCTTTGTGGATAAAAATCAGACATACTGTATACATCCATACTCATTTTCATAAGGAGGTTTTTTTGATACAATATTAATGTTAAATTGATAATCATAAATAAATACAAACAATAATACATAAGGAATGTCTACTGCAAACTGAATATATAATTTTTAAAAAAAGTTAATTTCCGTTACTGCTGTGCCTACATTTGTGAGGACTGAAGAAAAGGTAACTGCAGAATTAAGAGTTAGGATTTGACCCTCCCCTGCCCAGAGTCTTGTTTCGAGTTACGGTAAAGGACGCATCTCCATGCCAGACAGCATTTCCAAACACCAATCTCAATTTCCAGAATAAAGGCTTCTCTTCGTATGTTACTGATTATGGGTATTATTAGAAGCTGAAAGTATTGATGTGTTAGTCACCAGGACAAAAAATAGATCTTAGTCTTAATTCATGGCAATTCTTGGCTTTGTATTGTATATTGACGTTTTCTTACGGAGTTGTCCCGGGTTCCTTCATTGGCCTTCATCATTTCACCACATCATTTAATGGAAGAGGAGAGTTTGAGAGAATGAAGTTCTTTTTTTTCCTGGAAGTGGGGGTTTACTGGTGAGCACATCTTTTCGGAAACGTTCCTTTCTCTTCCATCTAACGCAGTTACATAAACTGAATCTGGAAAGATTAAAAACCCTCGTGTTAACATCCAACAGAAGTAGGACTTCACTATAAACCTGTGTTTTCTTCAAAAAATATACATTCTTCAAATGCCCAAGCTACCCCAAGATCTGAAGCTTTGAATAGAAACAAAAATTTTATGAAAACAGGGCCAGAAAGCAACCAAAAGCCATCAGGAGGTTTTTCCAACCACACCAGCCTTTGGAACACCTCTTTGCACTAAGCTGGTTTGTCCAACAATAAAAACCCACTACTACTTCGCCATGCAACATTGTCACCAGCGGCAGCGTAACATGGATCGACATCATTACAAAGAGAACTCAAGGTCACTTTTCACGCTGAACCAGAGGAAGCGCCCAAAGAAAAGCAGATGCTGCGTGCAATAAAGCCTACTCTTTCTTTACACTACGTATTCTTGAATTTTTTCATGTTTTCACTCATTTTTGTATTTAATTCCCACCTGCCCCAGACTGATAAAAAAAAGAACAGAACTCCAGTGCACATCTGTACCAAAATTTAACCCTCGCACACCTGAAACCAAGTCTCTTCTCCCACATGAAGTGAACTCTTTGGTCAAGCAATCTGGTGAAGTGCACGAGCAGACTGCCAGCAGCAGTCAGGTGCTTGCTGATAAACACGAACTCTGAGCATTTTCCTGATGAAGTGGTAAATACCCAGTAGTACCAGTTCCTTCTCCCCAGCTGCAGCAAGCTACCTTGTGTGCTGTCTCTTGCAGTTCGGAAAGCAACTATCAAACTTTATTTCCAAGCAAACTGAAGCAAAATGACTTGATCGGGCCTTTAAACTGCTGCAGTTAAGCATACGGAGTTTCCAAGTCACTTCCACAATGCTTCCAACTCAACATGACTTGTTTTATTTTCTTCAGGAACAGTTCTAGTCATGTTAATAAAACTTGAGTTAGAACTTTAATTTCGCTTTATATCACAAAAACCAGCATCTCCCCAGAATAATGGACAATACCTAAGTTGTTCTACAAGAAATCCTGGAGAGAGAGCTCTGCAAAGGGATCCTTTCCTGAGGCTCTGTGAGGACTCTGACTGGAAGGGCTGGATGCTGCAGACAGCTAGTAGGAAAGACGACAGAGAAAGGGAAAGAAAAAGAAAAAAAGGTCTCAGAATGACAGAATATGAAAGCTGAACATGTAATGAAAGGACAAGGGGAGGTTAAGAGGCAAACTTGGCAGAAATCAACTATTAAAACAAGGTGTTTGGTCATATGGAAAACAGAAAGCCTCTTCAATGGTCGGTGTAATGCAGAAACAAGCTGGATGTGACCCTCCAGAAAGGAAACTTAATTGGCATTTGCCAAATAAGCAGATAACCTTGCACTTTCACAGCGGTTTTCTTCAAAAGAAGATACAAAATGTTAAGCCTGACACTCCTGTGAAACAGGTTAGCACTCTCCCCGCTTTACTGGCAAAACTACGTATTGGCAGGGAGAGATGAGGCTGGGGGACTGGCCAGAGCACGGCAGCTCCAGAAGGAACAGCCTTCAGCATCTTTTCCTCTCAAAATAGGTTGTGTATAAAAAGAAGCTGGAGAGCAGACAACCGACAGTTGTCAATTTGGGGCCCAGAAGGAGAACACAGGATATATTCTGGGGGTAGGAAAAAAAAAATTGGATGAGAGTTTGTCAACCGCTGCCGTTTTAGGCGGGAACTGAAGACTGAGGCCGATAATCTATACTATCTGTACTAACAAAAATCACACCCTATAGCCATGTATTTAAAGCACCACACTACAAATTCAGCCATATGAAGCACATAATTTACAAGTAGGTAATACTGGTGTTCCAGCTGCTGCTGCTGGAAGGGACCAGTAATCTCCAGGCCGTAATTGCAAGAGTATCTGCTATTTGTTGATTTATTTTTTTTTTTTAGCCCTTTTCCTTCTTTGTTAGTACTTTCCCCCTTATAAAATGGTGCTTTATTAAATTCTATTTGCTCTCCTCCCTCATAGAGCTCGCATGTTTTTGCAGTTACAAGTAAAACAGTCAACTTTCTCCATTTCAGATTCCATCACTAACAATTTACTCATAATTGAGTCACTAATCACCAGTGCATACTTGCACTTCATACCCACTGCAAAAAACATCGTATGAAGAGGTATTTCCTCTAGAAATACTGAATGCCTGCCAACCTACGCATGACAGGGAACATGCTTATGGGAACTGCTTGCAAAAGTGCCCAGAGTGTAAATATCACCATTGCAAATTTAATTTTTTTCACGTTAATGTCTGTCTCGGAAACCACGTGGGGAGGAGGAGTTCTTTCAGGATCAGCACTCTCTATCTGGGTTGGAATCTTTATCTCCCTCCCAAAACCCCACTCCCAATAGGGCACTCGGATCCAGTCCCCATAAACAGATTATGGAGGAGTCATGAGGCAGAATGGGAAGTGCTTGAGAAGCAGTTTCAGGTTGTCAGAAGTTCCCCCTTTTAAACTTGGTTCTTCCCTTTGGAAAGCCGCAGGTCACAGACCCCACCACTCTCCAGGATTTGAGCCAGACTAACGATAAAGTCCAACGGAGCCCTAACTTCAGCAAGGCGTGCCTGCTGCGACTGGAGTTCATGAGACATTCTTCCTCTTCACGGTCAAATGGCTTGAAGTCACATATTAAAAGTCCTGTTAAATTGAGTTGGCAAATCTCCAACTGATATCAAGTCCAAAATAACGTCCCAGTTTGAAAGCAGTGTGGAAGACTGGTAGGTTCAGAGCTCTGACGTTTGTGCAACATCAGCATGTAACCAGAAACAGAGGCGAAATTTCAGGAAGCCTGTTCGGGTTAAATACTGGGCAAGGACTTGACAATGCTACTTCCTAGATGCCACAGCCAAATTCAGACAAGACACAATACCTTACAGTAAATATGTATTTTAATGAGGTTCCTCTAATTATTAAAAAGGAGGCCTAAAACAAAATGTGGAAAGTATAGTTAGACAGTTTCCTCCATTGCATCTATCCAGAATACCGCTTACAAACATATCTGAAAACCGGAACCGACCGCAGCAGTTTCTAAGGAGAAGCATTTAACACAACAGCGCTGGCCATCAGTTTCTCCAGCGCTAATACACCTAGAACTGTGGATTTAGCCTCCTTACTGCCCTGCGCCTGTGTGATCTGAAATGCTGAAATGAACACTGTGCTGGATCAGACCCAAAGCTTAGTCTCACCTCCAACAGCAGTCGTCACTTCTTGCTGCTTCCAACAAAGACAAAAACTCCCCGGAGTCACAGAAACACAGAAGAACCCCTCCACACGTGAGTGTTATGCCAATTCCCAACATTAGCTAGATACTGGTTTCTCATTAAATGAGTCTGTCAAGCTGTTTTAGCACATATTTTAGGATTAATGTGCCAAAGGAGCACCTGTGAAGTCTACTTTCTGGCATAAGTCTGCCCCGAACTATATAGCCTGTTCTTCCAGTTTCAAAAACACAAAACATTAAAAAAACAAAACCAACACCCGCCCCCCCCCAACCAACTTGCTCATCTGTACATTTACCTATTTTCATCATCACCAGGCGCTCGCTCCTACTACTTTTTCTGTACGATTCAGTGACGTTAACAACTGCAGTGTTACAATTCATCACACAGATGCTGGCAGTAGGCAGAGTAATTTCTTTAAGATTTAAAATGGAATAAAATTTTCACTACCCAGCTGCTTCCCCTCCTAAGGCTATGTCCTTTTGGGGGTAATCAGACCAGACTATGTAACACTTAGAGGCACACCACTGATTTGTCAGCGCTCTACCATTTTATATTAGCTAACAGGACGATGTTTTTGGTGGCGGTGAACATTCAAGCGCCGCCGTTGTGCATTACGACGCTCAGGTCTTACAATGGGTAGTTTATATTCCAGTTAACTGTATCTTATTCGGATCTGGCTTGCCTGAAATGTTTTGCGTTTGCTGTACGGTATCACATCTGCCGTCGCTCTGGCTACTCTTTAACCTTGTTTGGACCATTGATTCAGCCTGTCCCTTCCTCATACACACACACTCTCTCCCCCTCCACCAGCTAAAATTTAATCACACAGCTCCGACCATTCTCACTGTTCTGGGTAGCACGATATAACATTTTGCAGTGAGGAAAACCTACTATTTTATCATGATGAAAACTATTATTTCTCAAGTGGGAAGTACTGACCCTAACGCAAGATAAGTAATTTCAAAGAAAAGAGGTACACACCAGTTTCTTTTAAAACTATGAATAACTCCTGCACCTAGATTTTCAAAGCAGCAACTGTTCTAAGTCTCATTCTTGACTGTTTCAAATTATTTTGCCCTTAAAAAAACCCAAACTACCCTTGCTTTTGACAGCAACAATTAGAAATAAAATTGCATGCATGTAAACAGAACACTTCAGAGGCAAAATAGGTATGTCTAGAGGTAGGAAAAGTATATTTATTAAAACAAATCCTTAAGAAAATCAAATTAGGAACACCAGTTTAAAATCACAAAGAAACTGGACAACATGGGATGCCTATTTTACCGCTCCGTCTACAAAAGTAGGAGGAGTTCCCAACACACCACAACTTGGCAATATAATTTTTTGGCAACAACTTCCTATCTGTCATTATGCTTTTAGGTACATTCAAGTTTCTTTATTGCAGACAGCAACCAAGATCTATCAGCAGACTAGAGGTAAGTGATATAATCCAGTGCTTTAAACGTAAATATTAAAAGCAATTTACTTTTTGGCAGTGATGACACCACGGACAAAACTTGTATTAGAATAACGGTGTTTAGAGCGATTCACGTGGGATGTAGGCCGTTTGAATTGTGAGCCTTTCAGACAACCATTATGCACTCTAAGATTTGTTTACTCACCCCAAGAACACACGTTTTTATTTCTTTATTTTCCATTTCTATTTCTGGCACAACAGGAGCACGAACTAAACCTGAACAGACAAATATGCTCTCACAAGAACCCCAAGATTAAGCGTACAGTAAATTTAGTGTAATACTACTGTAACTCCCCTCCGTGGCTATAGGTTAGTAAATGCCATCTCTGCTGCGTATGAGGAAGAAGCTCTCGCACGCAGCCTTTGCTTCATTTAAATTGCTTTACTGATGTCAGACTTGTGAAAACTCAACACCCGCAAGCAACGCAGACTGCGTGTCTCGGGGAAAACCCTTCCCGGTCGCACAGCAAATGCCGATTCAAAGGGTGTGCTGTCTTGCAAATTAATTCTCACAGGAGCCAAACATGTTGTCAGATAAGCGATAGATATAATAAATAGAGCTCTACACACCTCACTTGTGACTAATTCCTCTTTCTCCTGTCATGACAGCCAGCTGGGATTCAACCTAGACCAAGCCCTGCAATGTCAAATGAAGCAGAAAGGCTCACCTACCTAGTCAGACCTACCTACCTGTTTATAACCGAATTAGGCAGGGCAGCAGATTTTTTTTTTTTTTTTTAAAAGGGACATTTCAAAATTGATGTTTTGGGAATTGCAGAAAAAACCTCTTATCCTTAAGGATCCTTTAACTTGTTCTCTATTTAAGTATCATAAGCACATTTTTTCCCCTTGAAATAGTATAAAACCCAGGTGAACGACACCAAATCACTTAAATGACAGTGAACATGCAAAGCAGCTCTCAGAAGTCCAAGAGAAAGCCAACTGAAAACTGTGTTTCTAGCTAAAGAAATCTAACAGCATCCCTTTCAGATAAAGCCTTTTAAAAAAATTTTTAAAAAAAAATCTATTTTAGCAAAGACAACGGACATACTGCCCACTGGCAGCACACAACACAGCCTCTCCTGTTAAGGATCAGATTCAGGCACTGGAGAAAGGTTTGAGGTTCTTTTCCTTTCCAACCTACTGCTGAATTCTTTTCCCTCCACACTCTAGTCCCAAAAACACACCCACCCCCCAACATATACTTGAGTGAATTTATATGTGCATGTTTTTAAAGTCACCTATAAAGCCAGAGCTCTTTATAGTAAGATCAAAATACAGTCCCAATATATCACAGTTTCCTAACAGAGGCATGATGTGCAGCGTGAACTTTGACAAAGAAACACTTGACTAGTAAGTAAAACCACACTGTTAATACTGGAGTTCTGATCTGCCAGCTGAACTTGGCTCTGCCTCCAACTATGGTTCACAAACACAGCAAAGTCTTAACGGTCTCAATATTTTCTGAAAACAGTATGAAGGCGTTCAAGGTTGTCCATCCCCTCTCCCCGCTATTTTTTTTCCCCAGTGTTTTTCCTACTGCAAAAAAAAAACCCCTATCTTCAGATGGCTACTGGGTTACAACAGTGAGTTCAGACAGACACTTCCCAGTGACAGAAGTTTGCAAAACAAACAATAAAAGGTAGGTATTTAACTCCAGTATCGATAGAGTCGGTTCTTCTCAATGTTCAGAGTAACCCTTCAGCGCACTCTTTTATTCCAGTACGTCAGGTAATGAATTTACACACGACATCACGGGAAGCAGGAAAGCAGGCAATTTAAGGAATGCTCCATTTAACGTAACACCTTTAACAGGGAAAGGCCAGACAGATTTGTAGAGCTATCGAGTATCTTCACTATGCTGTAAATACCATCTTCTGCAAAAACTCAGAGGAAGACAAAGACCTTTAGAGGATACAACGGTTAAGACTAGATGCACGTGCCATGTGCCTCCCGCTGAGAGTGGTCAGTACTGACTACCAGATGTTGGGTTGAAGCTTCACCAAGTTTGATACCGTGTTCTTTTCGAACCCATCTGTAACAGCCATAGACTTAAAAGGCTACATACACCCTGTTTGTCCCCTGCAAAATGCTGCCATATCAGCATGCAGCTTACACTTAAAGTTTATAGCTACTGCCAGACTTGGTTACTTTATAATCTAATACTTTTAAGTGTAACGGGTCAAAGAACAGTGCCACATATACTTAGGAAAAAGCTGTAATAGCACAATCTCACCATGCTACACTTGGAGGTAAAGCAGCAGAGAACACAAGCTTTGGGGGAGAAGCCTGCCTTCAGCAAACGGTACAGACGTTAACTGTTCTTATCCTTTCACTAAAGTGTTGAGGATAACCTCAGTCACATTCCCAGAAAAAACAATGCCTTAAAATGCTATCCTCTTTGCTCCTGTAAAACAAACTTGATGCTGCCAACCTGGATATAAGAAGCCAGGAAGCAATCCTTACATGAACTACTGGGCTTGTGCCAATACATTTGTCCAACACAAGAAAATATGAAAGTTATTCTAAAGAGACTGACCCGGCTGCAATTTGTTCCTAGCACCAGTTATTTAGAATATACACACCTGTGCTCCCGGTACCGGGCCAAAAGGGTTCGGTGGTCTCATGACCGGCTGACTGTATATTAAAGTTGGCTGTGTCATTACCGGTATGCCTCCCATCTGTGACGGCTAAAAAAAAAATCCAGACAACATCAAATCACACATAGCATTAATACATTGCAAGTATTTAAGGAGAGAAAGGAAAATGGTAAATTTTGGTCACATTTGATATATGCAATCATATAAGATCTTTCTACAATATTCTGCAAGTAAAGGTTACTGGAAAGGAACATTACAGCCTTTTCAAGGAATACTCTCAGTAACAACTGAGCCCATTTAATCTCTTGCTGCAAAGATCCGAAACACTAAAATACTTGTTTAAGCACAAGCGTTTGTGCTGGTCCTCTTGCTCCCAAAACTGAGGTCTGACGGCACTTCCCTGCCTGCCTTCGAAAGCACAAGAACAGTTTCACAGATACCAATGCAGAGCTGACGGCGTTCAAGAAAACTTGAGAACTGTATGCACAATTAATATTAAGTCATTATGCAATCAAAGTCTAACGTTACTGACACTCTGGCCGAGCCAAACTAAGAGTTTAACATGTATTAATGGTCTTAGAAGTCAGGTTTTATTTATTTTACGTAGATGCCCATCTCTGGCACTGCTTTTGGCACTCCCCTCAGGCTTGGGTTGACACCCAGCAGCAGTCCTACTGAAGCAATCCCCATTCCAAGCAGCTTTTCCTTGACTAATCCCGGTACTCCTCCCATCATGCCAACCAGCTGTTCGGGCAATCACATGGTGAACCCATTCAAGAAACCAACCCTGATGAAAACACTCTACGAAAAAAGTTAAAAATAACTGCTGGCACAATGCAGCAGCCAGGGAATGCTAAGGTACTAACGGAGTTGCCTGTCCCAGTATGCCCTCAGTCTGGCCATGCTCAGAACTACGGTACCTCCTACTTTTAGGAAAAATTGAACACAAAGGTTGTAAAATGGGTTAACATTTCAGAGATTCCTAGCAGTAAATGTCCTGAGTAAAGTTTGGACAAGCCAGAACAGTTTTCAGGATGTGTTATAAAGCCTACCGGTCATTCTGTAATGGCCCGGCTCACTCGTCCACTCAGACGTTGCACGCTTTTGAACAAGTAACAGCAACGCAGGGTAAGAGAGCTATGGCTCCTATTAATTCCAGTTTCCATTTCACATTGGCATTTAAACCCCACGGTGAAAGCTGCTTTACGGAACACGCAAGATTACTTTCTATACACTAGAAATGTTACCTTCCCCAGCTGCTGAATCAAAATAACCAAGAAAATGCTTCCAGTACCGTCAGTGCAAAGCGGTGTAGATCAAGTTTGAATCAACACTAAAGGGAGTTTCACCACGACTTTGCACAGAACATACTACAGGAGTTCATGGATGGGTAACAGGGAACATGATGCTCTCCCAAAAGACCCTCAAGAACACAGTTGGCTACTTTTGAAGTTCACTTACTGAGCATATAGAAATTATAAATCATTAATCTAATTTGTTTATATGATGAAACATTTAGCTTATTTTTGTTAGACTAATCTGTGAGCCATTTAACAGAATAATTGTTCTCTCCCCTTTTATTCACCCAGCAAAGCTGTGCTACATCAAAACCATACTAATAAAGAAGAGTTAAGGCATATAATTTCAGAAATATTTTAAAATTTGAGATGAGAAAAAAATTTGAACAACTTTTCAGAGCAACAAGCAGCAAGGTCAGGTTTACGTCAAAAGCCTTCCGGTACTGGTGTGTCACAAAGATTCAATTCTCAACCAACACCATAACACACGGCAGTGTCACAAACTCGCAGTTTTGTAGCATCGATCGTTACAGATACCTTCTGCTGAGGTTGGGAGCAAGTATTTAAGGAAGGTTTCACTTCACTGATAAAACATTCCTGTCGTGACTGTAGCTATACTCGCATGATACACTTATTTCTACACCAGTAAAGCCCACCAAGAATAGACACTGTTTTCATTTTAAAAAGTTTATGAAAAACTAAGTGAGGTAAGAAAGGGCAGACTTAATTTCAGACAAAACCCACTGAAGCAGTTCAGAAAACCAGGACTTAATTATGTGGTGAAGAATAAACCAAAAGGAGCTGACAGTCAGTCTTCAGTAAAATAGTTCAGAAAAACGTCTGCTACCAAACTGTAAGCAATCAAATGATACACAGCATCTGACTTCTTTGAGTTGCAGGAGTTCCACTTACCATCCCATAGCCCATCATTCCTGTTGGCGTTGTGGCAGGATATGCCATTACAGGTGGTGCCTGGTGCGAAAAACAGTGGTGAACTGAGGGGAGGAGAGATCAGCTGCATGCTGGTGAGACACTGCTTTCTAAAAGGGTCAACTGCAGCACGTAGCTTATTATGAATATAGACTGAAAGACCAAATTACCATTGCTTCTGCCAACATTACAGGAATTCTCTTCTCTTTAGCCAGGGCGTACACGCTATGGGGATTCTCCTACCATGCTTCAATATAAATTCAGCTCTAACATGAATATCCAGCTTGCATCCCCTCTCACTCACCCACTTAGTACAGTGAATTTGAACAGGTTAAAAGTCCTCTCAGTACTTTGCAGATATTTTGGTATTACCCTTAATCTAAGTTGACAGCAATCTTCCTGTAACTTCATAAAAGTTAACAGACAAAACCTGGGGTGAAGCTACGTTTTGTAAACAACTTGGCAACATATAGGTAAAAAAACAGCTGATAACTCTTAGAAAGAAAAATATGTTAAAGACAGTTCTTCATATCCTAATCATCTTTGTTCTACAGTTTCATTATCCACTTTCTAAATTAGTATTAACTCTTACGAGGACAAAACACCTTTTTTTTTCAGACTAGAAATTGGTGCTTATAAATATTCAGATAACTTGCTGTCTATCCACTCCACCTCCTGTTAGTCTCTCCTTTAAGAAAAAACAGTAATTTTCATGCTATTGCTGTGGGGATTACTATTCGTGACAAGACAAAGACCATACGCATTTCTTGGTACACAGAGATTATTGATACAGAAGAGAGGGAAGCGACAAAATATTAATCACACTGGGTTAACTAAAGCAGATAAATTGTAACATCAAGAATAGGACATCAGCAAAGCTGTTTCTGAATTCAGTTCTAAGGTATCAGCTGCCTTTTCATAGAGAGTAGCCAGTGTCACTGGCACTTCAATTGCCATTAGAACAGGTTTCCCCGATCGACAATTATCTAGACTGTGTACTGTCCATATATTTCACTCAACTGGCAAAGCTATCCTGAAAATTACTTTTTTTTTGTTTTGCTTGTGTACCCACACCTACACACACACAAACATGCTGACTACATTTATTTCTGAGTGCTCAAGTGTGGACCTACCATCCTTTAGTTACAGAGTTACCCTGCAATAAAAACAGAATACAGGGAAAGACCAATATCACTGTTGACATAAAGAAAAAAATCCTTTGCAATGAAAGACTGCATTCCTCAGACAGCAAGCACAGGTTATTGCTTGCCCTTTGTAAACTGTCAGCATGGATTTTCTTTTTTCGTATGAGCATTAATGCCATATTAGTCTCTCCCCACTAAAAAAAAAAATAAAAAAAAATCAAGATCTACTGTAAACGTGGATAAAGTGCCAAGTATAACAAGCCCGTGAGGTTTCATGCAGTTATTCAAACACAAACATTTTTATCTTCATTCAAAATTCACCGAGTGCATTAAAGGCAGCACAGACACACACCCCAGCTCTCTGGCAGCAAATGGTACAGTTTAAAGCAAGGAAAAATAATCTTGGTATTTCCCATGCCATCATTCGAGTCAAGAGCCTGCAGACCACCTATGAAGTTCGTGTATGCTAGGAAAAGCTCAATTTTTGGCACACCAAAGATTTTAAAATGAGAAATGTGTAAATAGCAAGAAGGTTATGAGATTCTGCAACAGCAGTGGTTAATATCAGCATGCCAGTCGATTGCAAAAAGGCTGTGGGTTGTTTCACTTACGTATTGTGGAAAATGCATGCCATTCTGTATTTCCCAGGGAGAACAATTACATAATGCAATAACACTGGATTAGAAGCAAATACTTACACAACAGAATATACACAGATAGCATTTTAGTTCACAAATACATTAAATGTTTACCCCAACACATTCTTGTAATTCAAGTCATTTACTGAGACAACGTACACCTGTGATACTGTCATCATCACTAGGTTTGCAATTGTTTTGCATAGTCCATTTATTTGGTATATGCCTTTTTTCCAAAGAAAAGAAAGTCTTATTTTCCAAAGCATATTTATTTAGCAAGCCGCAGCAACTCCACAATAAATAGACCAGCAGAGGAAGACAAACTTTCTCCCCCCAGATTATTTCTGTTTCAAGATTTTTATGTTAATAGAACAGTTTCACAGGAAGAGAAGTGTCTCAACAGTATCTCTAAATAATAAAAGCTGTTAAGTGTAATGACTTATCACAAGAAGATGTATATACAAGACATGAGTTATTGAACAGATTCAAGCACACAAGTAAACTCAAACCACCAGTCATTAAAGCAGGTGAGTAGTTACAGTTTCTTCAATATCTACACATCCTCCAGTAAGGTCCACAAACATTTCTCCCTACATAAATATCGTGAGTTGATAAGGGACACCCAGTAGGGAAGAGGTGGTGGATCCAGGGAGACAAGCTCTCTCTTTCCAAATCCTCAACGTTGTATTATTGCACTGTGGATTCAACCTCCCCCAGTCAGATGCAATAAATCCTTGGGGGCGGTTTGTCACCTGTTCTGTCCACGTACAGTTCTCCAGGTCATTGGTGAAAGGGTGAGTGGGATTCACATGCAAAAATGTTCTGTTAGCATTGTGAAAGCTATTCATATAAACTCTTAACTACTTTTTTTTTTGGACATGTAATTAAGAACCCTTGCTCTACGTGCTACCCAAAAATCCTTGCCAATACTACCTGCTACAACAGACACTATAAAGTTGATCACCAAAATTGACATGCATTAAAAACAATTGTGCACATCGGGGCAGGAAAGCAGTAGTTACGTACATTAAGGAAGCTATAGCCCACATCACTGCACAGACACCTCTACAAGTATCTAGAGGATTAACGTCTCGGCCTGTTCTCACCCCCAGAGCAGGCTGAGTTGTAATGTATACATACTTGACGTATCAGTGCACCTGAAGAACATACTTTTCACACTTCTACTTTTCTGGACTGCAAAGTGCCCCCCCCCCCAGAATTCAGTTTTATGTCACTTGAGTGAAACAGGAAGGCTGCTCTCGTGCCATGAGAGAGGCTGGTCAAACTCTACTGAAGTTTCTGCTAAACCTGCACATGTCACATCACAAACTATTTGCTAGAACCGCACAGCTAAGAAAAACAAATCCAAGCAGTACACATCTCAAACTGACCAATTTTCTACTACCCTTGTACTGCAACCATAGATCACTTTCCAATTTCTCTGCTATACATCAGCCTGCATATCTCAGTTGCAGGGAACTCACTATTTGCTTACCAACGTTGGTGCATTCCATGCAGTTGTAGGTGCAATCTTGGGTTGCCAGTTGGAACCACCTGTCAGTTTCTTTTCACCTGGCTGAGTCCAGTTTACATCACTTCAAACAAATTTTTTAAAGAATTGTTAGAAAACATTGGATTTTCTCACAAAACTCCCTCACCGTTTCCTCTTGGAAATGTGGCTTCTTTTGTTAGCGAAGAAACTCATTTAGCAAAGGAGCTGATAAAAGGTCTCATGACAGCCTGTTTTGCCTAGGAAAAGTAGGGTAAGACATTCAACATGAGCCACCCCAGCTTTACCTAATCTCAGTCAAGTTCCCCAGTACAGGTAAGTTAGTTTAGCTGACTTTTCTTGGGTCAAGATAGTTTAGTTAGGAGCAACTGCATACTAGATTTCTGAATGATTTCAGAGTTGGCACAGATGGTCCCGATAAGCCTGAAATTTGCTAGTTGCATTCTCAACTTTGCTGCTAGAGCAGATGTTCACTACTCTAGAATATGCCCTGCTTCAAAACTCACTTGTCTAAACGTCACTCACAAGTCGGAGGTCGTAGTTTCACAATCTTTAATACAGCTCTGCACACACTCAGATCACACAAAGTATAAGGTGTGCTAAGATTACCTACAACTACAAAGAAACATTTTGATGACCTCGTTTCCTAAAGATATGGACAAAGCCTGAAAGGAATCAGACACAGGAGGACATCTTGCCTGCTGTTATCACTGTCACTACCACTCAGTCTACAATCACCTTCCAACAGCTCTCAACAATTCATTATACCTTGTAGGAGAAACAAAGTACAATCCCAAACGTGCTCTGAAGGCTAACATTACGTTGTTATGCACAGGTATGAACCTGTATTTTCATAAAAACTTACTATCAAGAAAATCAAAATGTTTAACATTTGATTAAACATACTCACTTTTTAGTAGTTCCGTTTACTCCACAATAAATAGACCAGCAGAGGAAGACAAGAGGAAGACAAACTTTCTCCCCCCAGATTATTTCTGTTTCAAGATTTTTATGTTAATAGAACAGTTTCACAGGAAGAGAAGTGTCTCAACAGTATCTCTAAATAATAAAAGCTGTTAAGTGTAATGACTTATCACAAGAAGATGTATATACAAGACATGAGTTATTGAACAGATTCAAGCACACAAGTAAACTCAAACCACCAGTCATTAAAGCAGGTGAGTAGTTACGGTTTCTTCAATATCTACACATCCTCCAGTAAGGTCCACAAACATTTCTCCCTACATAAATATCGTGAGTTGATAAGGGACACCCAGTAGGGAAGAGGTGGTGGATCCAGGGAGACAAGCTCTCTCTTTCCAAATCCTCAACGTTGTATTATTGCACTGTGGATTCAACCTCCCCCAGTCAGATGCAATAAATCCTTGGGGGCGGTTTGTCACCTGTTCTGTCCACGTACAGTTCTCCAGGTCATTGGTGAAAGGGTGAGTGGGATTCACATGCAAAAATGTTCTGTTAGCATTGTGAAAGCTATTCATATAAACTCTTAACTACTTTTTTTTTTGGACATGTAATTAAGAACCCTTGCTCTACGTGCTACCCAAAAATCCTTGCCAATACTACCTGCTACAACAGACACTATAAAGTTGATCACCAAAATTGACATGCATTAAAAACAATTGTGCACATCGGGGCAGGAAAGCAGTAGTTACGTACATTAAGGAAGCTATAGCCCACATCACTGCACAGACACCTCTACAAGTATCTAGAGGATTAACGTCTCGGCCTGTTCTCACCCCCAGAGCAGGCTGAGTTGTAATGTATACATACTTGACGTATCAGTGCACCTGAAGAACATACTTTTCACACTTCTACTTTTCTGGACTGCAAAGTGGCCCCCCCCAGAATTCAGTTTTATGTCACTTGAGTGAAACAGGAAGGCTGCTCTCGTGCCATGAGAGAGGCTGGTCAAACTCTACTGAAGTTTCTGCTAAACCTGCACATGTCACATCACAAACTATTTGCTAGAACCGCACAGCTAAGAAAAACAAATCCAAGCAGTACACATCTCAAACTGACCAATTTTCTACTACCCTTGTACTGCAACCATAGATCACTTTCCAATTTCTCTGCTATACATCAGCCTGCATATCTCAGTTGCAGGGAACTCACTATTTGCTTACCAACGTTGGTGCATTCCATGCAGTTGTAGGTGCAATCTTGGGTTGCCAGTTGGAACCACCTGTCAGTTTCTTTTCACCTGGCTGAGTCCAGTTTACATCACTTCAAACAAATTTTTTAAAGAATTGTTAGAAAACATTGGATTTTCTCACAAAACTCCCTCACCGTTTCCTCTTGGAAATGTGGCTTCTTTTGTTAGCGAAGAAACTCATTTAGCAAAGGAGCTGATAAAAGGTCTCATGACAGCCTGTTTTGCCTAGGAAAAGTAGGGTAAGACATTCAACATGAGCCACCCCAGCTTTACCTAATCTCAGTCAAGTTCCCCAGTACAGGTAAGTTAGTTTAGCTGACTTTTCTTGGGTCAAGATAGTTTAGTTAGGAGCAACTGCATACTAGATTTCTGAATGATTTCAGAGTTGGCACAGATGGTCCCGATAAGCCTGAAATTTGCTAGTTGCATTCTCAACTTTGCTGCTAGAGCAGATGTTCACTACTCTAGAACATGCCCTGCTTCAAAACTCACTTGTCTAAACGTCACTCACAAGTCGGAGGTCGTAGTTTCACAATCTTTAATACAGCTCTGCACACACTCAGATCACACAAAGTATAAGGTGTGCTAAGATTACCTACAACTACAAAGAAACATTTTGATGACCTCGTTTCCTAAAGATATGGACAAAGCCTGAAAGGAATCAGACACAGGAGGACATCTTGCCTGCTGTTATCACTGTCACTACCACTCAGTCTACAATCACCTTCCAACAGCTCTCAACAATTCATTATACCTTGTAGGAGAAACAAAGTACAATCCCAAACGTGCTCTGAAGGCTAACATTACGTTGTTATGCACAGGTATGAACCTGTATTTTCATAAAAACTTACTATCAAGAAAATCAAAATGTTTAACATTTGATTAAACATACTCACTTTTTAGTAGTTCCGTTTCCAATGCCCAAATCTGTCACAAAGTAGATAGAGTTACTATTGAAATTCTATTCATTTAAAAGAATCAAATAAGTATTTACATGTTAGCGGTTCAATACTTACTGCCTACAAGATTGGCTAGAGATGAATCCAGATCATCTGACACTAATTTGTTAGGTGGTACTTTGGCAACTGGAAGACTCTGGTTTTGAGAGGCCACTGTTGGTTTTAGGAGACCACCTAGTTCATCAAAGCCTTGGAATGATAAACATAAAACAAGTGATTTGAATCACAGGCCTCTCATGAATGTTGAGACACTCAATTAAATAGACAGCGAGTTCAACACAATGGCTAAAATACAAAATTTAAACCTAGTGATGCTACACTATACAAGAAGGATAAAACTTATTATGCCTCTTGATAAAGGAGATATTTACTACAGAAAGGAGATTTCACTCCACTAGTTTAACCTACATGACATCAGTTTTACATGGAATGGATTCACGATGACTGCAAAGCAATCAAAATGTAAAACAAAATAAAGAATAAATATCTAAAGTATTTAAATCTTATAAAAATGCATATGTATTTGCTTTTAGCAGATCACTGGTTTGCCCAAAAAGAATCCGATGTCAAGAGTCTGATGTCAAAACACCAGAAAGTATTTACTTTCCAGATACTCAAAAGAATAGAAAGAGTACTAACTATGACTACCATCCAAATTAACCGTGTATGTTTTGATGATTTATCATTTTCTGAAATAATCTTAACATCGAAAGAGTAACAGGTAGGCAAAAGAAGTGCCAAAAACGTGTTGCACAGATATATAAAATTAAGATGCAACTTTACTTCTTCCGACCATACTCTACAAACAGAGACTTAATTTCAGTTGACACCATGTAGAAATGAAGGCTGTTCATTGTGTGAAGTTTTAATGCACAAAATATTTAAGTGAAGGAAATCAATGTCAACATTTCAGCAGGGTACACACATAGAAATAGTGTACAAGGAAAAATTATTTATTTAATAAAGAAAAACTGGATGAAGAATGCTGCTACTGACCTTTTAAAGTCAGCTTTCTTTTCTTCAGCTGGAACACAGTCACAGCAGTATGAGTAAATACAGATTAAGAGACATATACCTCAAGAATAAAGAAAAGTTAAAGGACATACGTCATCTATTTTAGTAAGTTTCTTACCACCAGAATCTAGGACAACATTAGAAGATTTGTTTCCAAACACAGACTCAAAGTCAACATTAAGGCCAGCTGATGGCTGTGGTTGAGCAACAGGAGATGGAGGGAACCCTGTGGGGAAAAAGAAAGAAGTTGAATGTTTTTATACAGCATTTCCCATGAATCCACCTTCTTTATGCAAGACAACCAAATAAATATGTAGATTGTTCAAGTATGGCAGAAAGACTAGGAACCTCAAAGGTGCAGATTACACCCTGACACTGAGAAGCATGTAAGAGAAAGAGCTGGAAGCAGTTTATTTGAAGTTTACTTGGAGTTACTCCTCCAAAGAAAGGTTTTGTCTCAAAAACTGGACAGACAGGCCATAAAGACACTCCTCCCCTCAGCTGCTAAATCTCTGGACTAACTATTCACGTCTTCCTTATTCCTTTTCCAAATACAATAAAAATATTGAGGAAACAATCACCACGCTTCTCCAGGAAAAGAAGCTGGCTGGGTACAGAATCTGTTTCAAGATTACCTGCCTGAAGATTATTCCCTCCAAGTTTTATATGAGTTGAGCAGTTCTCTTAGATAAAACTGGAGTAAGATCCAAACCATCCCAAGGTGCCTGACTAGTAATGCCTTCGATTAGACACTCTTAACACTAATAGTTTTTAAAGCACACACTTAGTTATTTTTGGACACACATTTTGCAGGCGACCATGTTTTGCAGGTAAGTTTCTAGTAATTATGGCAAGATACGGGGAGTTAAAGCCAAGTTTCAACTTCGATTCCTGTCTGAACTTACTCCATTTGTCTCCTCCTATGTATCTGTAAAGCAGTGTTCTCCAAATACACAATTTTTTTCAATACTGTGAAAATTTATTGCAGTACAAAGCATTGCGTATGATGTTTGGCAGTATTAAGTTGATAGTTCAGTAACATGGAGGTCAATACTGATTTGTTTCTAAAATTGTATTTTTTAATGTTATATATGATCACGCACACAAGCATGCACATACATCATCTTGATATTCAGGAAATTACAGAAGGAATTATTACTTTATATGAAAAGCACCAAAAAAATGCAATGCCATCTTGAAAACTCGCTCTTCCGGTTTCTAACAGAAATTTTGATGATATGGAGAAATAAAAGAAAAGGATCACAAATACTTCAGCAGTAAAACATCGCAGTGAGCGGAAATAACCGATGAAGAATACTTCTTGGATTTCATTTAGCTTGCCGTGACAGCACCTCATTTCAATCTTACTGTTTTTCTGAAATAAGTCACATTTCACCTAAAAAATTAATAACTACAGGATGCTATCCTTGAACATAAACTTCACAGAAAAAACAAATTTGGATTACCTGTTCCTTCCTATTTCTCTTAAAGGAACATACAACTCATAACTCAAAAGCATCCATCACCAAGAATTTAAATAATGTACTTTTCATCAAAAACAAATCAAAGAAAACAGCATACAGCAAAACATGGGAAGCAGTAATGCGGGGAAAAGATAGGGAGTAAACAATCAACCAAACAAAATGAGTATCTTTATGACAAGTATACCATCAAGTTGTAACAAGCCATTTCAGAGACTCTGAACTGCGGATAGAAATTGCTTTGATGGGATGTCCTGCAACTCTAAAACCATGCCTGTACCAATAGAAAACTTGATTTACAATAGCTCATATTTTTCTTTAGAAAACGGCCTTAACAAAACAAGCTGCATTTCCTGCTCTCACATTTTAGGAAGTTTCAAGCTTTATGAAGCTAATGAGACAAGATGAGCCAGAAGACAAAACAATACATAGGACTCCTTTGAATCAGCCTCTGAAAAAGATCAAATCCTACTCCTGGTATCAACCACCAGCCCAGGGCATTTTGTCTGACATGGATGTTTTGAAAGGTGCAAAGGTCAGTATTTTTAGTGGAGTTCCTTCGAGGGAATAAACCAAGGCGACTTGACAGAAACTAATCATCCTGCTTTTTGGATATGGAACAAAAGGGAACAGAGTCATACGTAGTTATTTAACCTTTCGTTAAATGACTCCAGCTAATTTCTATTCAAAGACACAAAACCAAAATGTGACTTTACGGTGCTTTTAAGAACTAACTCTTCCACAAATCATTTATTGAAGGTATTCCTAAACCTTGCACAGCAACAATGTTAACGCTCCCTGTTCAATCTGGTTTAGATAGATTATCATCTGTGACAGCCCACAGCCCATCTAGCAACTGTCGGGATGGTATTCCAGAACCAGCGTCAGTACTGGGTTACTATACAGACATCACACAGCTGCACAAATGATCAGTCGGTAATTTAATGCAGCGGATACCTCTTTCTCATGTTCTGTTGCAAAGCTTTGTACTAGTATAGCGCACTGTTTAAGAGTAATGTATCAACAGAAATGCCATAAGCAGCAAGACCATCCCAATCCCTTTATCTTAAAAGTAACAAGGTAGAGTTAAGATGAGAAGATACTTAACAACATGCAAATCTTGTGTGTGGTATGTAGCAACATGTAAACTACAAGAGATCCTGAAATGGGGAGATACTCATTTCGTGTTTAGACTAAATACGGCTTAGTTTAGCACAAACTGAAAAAATATATACCATTTGTGACAACACACCTAGCACAAGCACATGAATAAAAGTTGGAGCCGCCATAATAATGCACTTCTGTAGCCAATAACACACCTACTAGTTCTAGGCACACAACACATTCAAACGTCTCTGTTTGTGGTCAGGCTGTGTCTCATTACCTACCTCCAAATAGACCAGCTACAGAAGAAGGCTCATTGCGGAAATGAGAAGCATTAGGGTAAGCTTGAGGACCACAAAAAGAATCTGATAAGGCGTATCACACAAGAGAGAAAGCCAGGAAAGGAGAAGAGGGAGAGTTACAGAAAGAGAACCAAGATACACTGTTTATCTGCTATTCAAAAATTTAATTTCAGGTCAGTCTATAAATCCACATATACTAATAACATAGAACCAATGGAATGAAATCAATACACATCAGACATACAGCAAGAAACAAGTTTACATTATCTATAACACAAAAGGGGAAAGCACGGTTTCAAAGTTACAGCTATATTAGGATAAATACTTCTTTTTTTTTTTTTTCCAAGCAAATGCCATGTTTTACATCCTTGGAAGAAACGAGTGTAAAAGCTTCAAGGCATTTGTCTTATACCTGAAGTATAAGGATACAGCCCAATAGTGGATTCATATTTGGTTGTCACAAAGGGATTTAGTTCAGTAAATGGATTGTAATGATCTAAAGAACCAGAAAGAGTTATTTTAAATCCACATTCACATTATCGCAGCACCTTGTTTGTGCTACAGCTAAAACTGCATTTACATTTCACACATCAATGTGTCAGGAGGTCACACTTTGGTTCTAGATATATCTTTAGAGAATGAGACATTGGAAGGGAATGCAATGTATCAATGCCATCCATCTCCAGCGACTTCAGGGCTGTCGTGTGATGAATACTACGCAAACCAGCGAGTGCCACAAAAACCCACCAGGCTCCTTGTTCACAGCCCTGCGCTGCCGCAACTTATTTTGTATGACTGCAGAACAAATTATACAGAGGAAACTGATCTGACTGAATAATAACCCTACTAAAAAAAAGCTGTATTTCAAGTGATCATTCTACATTCACACGAACCATACAAATTTTATTGGAAGTGCCAGAAAGACCGATTAGAAGCATAGGCCAGATTATTACGCAGTAGTACCAGCTTAAAAGTATTCGTATACTACTGCCTCAGCCAACTAATCCTCCCTGGGAATTGCGGAGAGAAGTTCACAGCAAGAGCTCTTGTGCTTGATCTTGCTTGCTTTCTCTCTCCACTAACTAAAGACAAGCTAGGAAACTAGATAGCTAAGGTGACAAAGTGTAGGTGGTACGAGTATCTCTAAAGAAATCCCTTTGTTTTATCTCTGTTAACAAGTATCAGAGATATCAAAGATTTCTTTGTTGTAAGAGTCTGGATTCTTCTGTGATCAATCCTAGTGGGGTTCAACCTGCAAAAAGAAAGCCCTGTTGGTGCAGCACGATTGTCTTTAAACCTAGCTTTGCTTAAGAACAGAACTGACATGTAATTAATTGATTTTTAGTCTATGGAAGCTAACTTAATTCTTCATATTGAAAAGTAATCAAATTACTATGTAGCTGCACCAACAGAAATGTTAGAAGGATTTCTGATATGACAGCCATGCTGAATCACCTCCAAAGCAAGATTTCAACAGTTTTAAATTAGTTTATTGCCTAGTGGGTAAACAGTTTGAGTAGACCATGCACCAGAATGTGCGTGGCTTTACCAGTTTTGTTAATACCAACAGGACTGGGGGAAAAACACCCACTACCAAAAAAATTAGATTAAACTCCTATGTTTAAAAAGAGCATTTCAACCTGAGGAACAAAGAGGTAGCATCTTCTTTTCATTCTCAGGCATACGTACTATTTTACCTTAAAATTCCTAAGCCTAAGAGACACTGTGTAAAACCGCACTCAAACAACTGCTTTAACTATAACTAAGTTCCTTTACATCAGGTAGGATCCCATCTAGGTAGCCAAGCAAGGACTTTAACACCATTTCCATGGCACAATTACTAAATCAAGTTCTAACATAGCACAAAATCAGCCCCAAATGACCAGCTTTTAGTTTCTGAAAGGCCCCACAAACATACTTTAGAAACTGAAATAATGTTAAAATTTTTAGGAAATAGGAAGTGAGTTTAAAATGGTACTTTACCAACAAACATTTCATGTGTGGGTGTCCTACTGGTGAAAGTAGATACATCAGAAGACACAGACAGATGAGCAGCATCGTTAGTTTTTGTAAGGAAAGGATTTAGGTTTGGAATGGCATCATCAACACTATCAACAGTAGCAGAAAAAGGATCTGTTCAATTCCAGAGAGCAAGAGAAAGAAGAAAAGGGAGATGGATTTAGTTACATGCTGCTTCCTAGGCATAGAAGAGTAAGAGTTAAGAAGAGTCCAGGAATTATAGTTTTCTCCTGGCATCTCTAAACTTGGGATGACCTAGCTAATTGTTTAATTGTCAAATTGTCCAGAATTATCCGTTCCCTGCTCAAGAAAAATACTACAGAGATTAGCTACACGTTTACTTTTTTTTTTTAAAGTAATACCATCTTGGTCTTATGAAGTGTACTTCTTCCACAGTGTGTTTTATACTGAAGATTAGTATGTTGTTATTCTTTGAACATGATCGCTTTTTGCTTCACTCAGTCATGTCCTGACACTTGCAACAAATTCTCTGGAGCGGAGACTGCCTCTTAGCATAACAGAACCCCAGGTGCTAAGTGAGGATTCGATGCAATACCATCCTGAGAATAGCTTTAAAAACCCAAACAAACAAAAACAGAGCTGTACTTTTCCTCCTCCTTCTTCAAACTGTGTTTATGGATTTTTTTTTTTTTTTTTTTACTGGGCATCATGAAATTTTCAAGAGCTATGAATACACCAAGGTAGCGTACAGGATAAAAGCACTTTCCTTGCTACCTGGGGCATCAGGAGCAACAAGCTTCTTGTGGATATGCCACCAGCTGCAAGCAAGTTAAAACCTGCTCTGCTTTGAGGGACAACAGCCAGTGAGCAGTGACAAGGAAAATGTTCTTTATTAAAAAACTGTCGGACCGTACTGGGGAATGAAGGAAACATGGATCTATCCCGAGGCATATAGGAGAGTTTCAAGGTTTCCTGAGGATGGCTACAATCGCCAAACTGAAATACTCCTATACTCCAGGATCCAACAGATAAACAGGTTAGGAAAGGCAGCTACAATGCGTGTTGACAGAAGGAGCCGTGGTTTAGCTGTCTGGTTTCAAAGCACGCAAATCCTTGATGGAAAAAAACTCAAGAACTCACAAGATCAGCAGGAGTTGCATCTAGCCCTATTGGTTTTATCACAGTGCCTAGAACTGCAACTTACTCTTCTAGGCAAAACCACTACAGAAAAATGTCTGAATAATAATTATAGGAGAGATTTCTTAAGTACTTCAGTTTCTAGCTTTTTTTTTTTTTAAACTTGGTTAGGTTACCAATTTATCCACAACTCTTGTAAATACTACCATGATGCGTGCAGCAGCTTCAAAGTGTAAGTTATTTTCTCTCCCTGAATCTGACCTCCTGATTCTTCGCTATAAATCCCACACAGCTTGATAACATGCAGATTTCAGTCATATGCAAGTCCTAAAGAAAATGAAATTCTGAAACCATAACTGCATTATTCTTTGCAGGCTTAATACACGCTTTGATTTTCTGCAAGCTCAAGATATCTTATTCAGTAAGACCTGACTTCTCTCCCAAATTGCTTGGCTATGTTGCAAGAATGAGTGAAGTACCTTAAAAAGCCTTTTCTAAATAATTCAGTCAGCAAAATGACAGTGTCCAACACTGAATAAAGGATAAGTAGAATAAGCTAATGTAGTATTTGTAATATATAACAGCAATACAGAACTTTGTATTGTCTTATGTATGTTTCAGATAGTAATATTACCACCTAATGCACTTGTGGACATGCCAATCAGCCAGTCACCTGAAACCGAGTCCTTGCTCTCAGGTACTGCTTAAAACTGTTGTCTGCTTTGAATGCTATTCTAGAAGCTGTAGAACAAACAGGTCTGACAATAAAACAGGTCAGATTATCCTTTAATCAGCTCCTGCTTGCTTTTTCTGTTGCTGCTTCACATTCTTCTGATTCTATTGGTTCTCCTTGTAATTGGAAAAAATCCAAACAGATAGGTCAAACTGATTATTTCCACACTGATACATTTGTTTTGCTTCTGAAGTTTAGGTATAAATTGATAGCTGGCAAATATACCAGACACAGCTGGAATGGTCTCCAAACAATCCCAATAAAAAGCTCAGATAAAACAATATGAAAGAAGCTAAAGAGGACAAAAAGTTTTTAACCATATTTGTTTGAAACTGCTGTCCACTGGAATTATTTTACACATGCACTCAACAGGAAAGTTACTACATACTACTTTCTGTTCCCAAATCGCAAGGTTGTATATGGAGTTTCATGTGTTTTGACTAGTAAGACAATGCAATACAACTTTAGATTATCAAGATTTTCTGAGTTGTAATCCATTCTCAGACTCTTTGCTCATCCGCCTCATTCTAATTCTAGTCAGCGTGTTCAATCTCGTCTGAGTCTGAAAACTTGCCAGTGCTAGTGACAAAGGTAACTGAAAATTAATTGGGTTTGGGCAATTCATATCCTTGCATATTTAGATTTTAAAAGTCACTGTCTCTCCTGACAGCAACACCTCAACATTTCTAAAGCCCAATTTCATCCTCAAATACACACGGCATCTGTTTGTGTCAATGGAATCACTCTGCACCTTCACCCTATCATTAGGCATTAATGATTCAGGTGCATTTAAAAGAGGAATTTGAATTTTGCAAACTTCTACCTTTAAGTTATCCAACTAGAAGTATTTTACCTGAGAGAAAAATGACAAAGGTTTTTCAGTGGCATCTCTTACAGTTTGAAAAAGTAAACTGAAAACACGCAATTACAGAACCCATCCTCCAGGAGTTTTTAACCTCGTTAGCTTTAACATTTTTGGAAGTACAAGACAAAAGGCAGCAACCCAAATATAATGCTTTTGTAAGAATTCATCCTTTTATTACACACCAAAGAGCTGCTGCATAAAATTTTTAACAGTAACCGATTTTAGTCCATTGCAGCTTGTAGCTGGTTTGATACTCTTCTCAAAGTCACTATATACACCAAATACAAACATCATCATGTCAGAAAATTACCTAACGGAGGGATGCCGTGCAGTGGTTAGAGCACAGGACTGGAAATAGTTCAGGTTCCATTCTTGGCTCTGCCACTGACTTGCCGTATGACTTCAGACAAGTCAGTTAATTGCTCAGACTTCCCCATCTGTAAAATGTGGAAAGCACTTCTTATCTACCTCACCTACGTGAAGTGAGTGTTCATGTCTGTAAAGCTGAAGAGATTTTTTTTTTTTGATGAAAGGTAACAAAAAAAATGGTGATCCCAGAATTGTAGCCTAAAATTTTAGTAGACAGTCCAAAATCTGCACAGTTAATTAAATCTTAGAAGTATTTAGATATAAGTCAATAGTAAGCAGATATATCAATGACTATTACTGAAGACTTTTACCAGGAGTAACACAACATTGAACACACAGACTTTCAGGCTCAATTTTCAGGTTAATAAAGAAATGCTAGATTGTGATGTGACCTTCGAGAGGAAGATAATTTCCCCTTTTATCTCTCACCCATGAAACAAATAGGACAAGCAGAAAGCAAACAAGATGAGCCAAAATGTTTTTCTCCATTGATAAACTCTAAGCCTATTAAACACTGAAATTTGTATGCATAACTCTATAGGCTCCTCACTGCATCTTTCTCAAAAAATGCTCTGCTCAGCAAAACTAAAGGACAAGTAAACTACTTTTATTTATTTTTGAAGCTACCACATATATTAGTATTGCCTCCGTCACTCAAAATTGTGTGTTATTTCCCTACAAACAAATGTGAGAAGGTACACAATACACAAAGTACACAGCAAAAAGTAAATAGGAAAGTAGAATACATACACTGCTTATTGTGAAGATATATTAGATAACTGAGAAGATGTTTAGGAAAAGCTATAGCTCATAAAAAGAAATAGTGAAGTAAAATTTCAGAATGGGGTTATTCCGATACCTACAAAACTTTCTGAAGCAGCAACTCCCAATTTTTCACATCATAAAAGTATTTTTGCAAGCATCTGATTTATAAAAAAAACAAACCTGGAAATAGCCACATAATAAAATAGTGAACTCCTGAACTAAGTGTCATTTATGTAGAAAAGTAAAAAGAAACATCTTTATAAGAGATTTTTAATCCTCCACGAGTATAACCAACTGTGCAAGCAGGCAATGTTACCTACATCAGAAGTATTCTGGAACACTGCAAAGCAGCAAAGAGAAAAACGGCTTTGAGTAAACGCTCTAACACTCAAACTAATCTTGAAGTAACATTCATGACTTTCTAGAATGCTCTTGCTTGCCTCCTTGGTTTAAGGACTTGCCTGTATCAATAAGATACCCTAACATCTCATTCAGTCCATCCCAGCAACTGGGCAGAACAATAATTTGGGTGTTCTGAAGTAAATTTCAGAGGGAGGAGTTCCTTATAAACGTTGTCTCTTCACTTAAAGAGATCCAAGCACAGCTTTTTGCTAATTTGCCTTTGTAGTTAAATGAAATACAGCAGAAAATTTGTAAAGAGGTACCTTATTTTGTTTTCAATAATTCTGGCTTTTCTTGCCTTCTATGCATAGTTGCCACAACTGCCTCCTTTCAGGCCTCATCCAAGTTCTGCTCTATTATCACCCGCAAATTTGATTTAACATTAGATAAAATGTAAAATGTGTATTAAAAAATTCTGTATTCAACTTCCTGTGTATGCAACATGGGCTACCTGGCAGACATCTTCACAGAACTGACTTCTCACAGCTAAGTTTCTGTAGGTTTCTATGTGACTCTTGAAGACAGCAGTTATGAGGCTGACAGAGCTGGTCAACAATTAAAGTAACTTTGCTACCAAGAACTCATATCAAAATTCTTTGTAATCACCACATGCTGCTACATTATTTTAATCCATACCCAGATTTGACTTCTTCCGCTCCCTTCATCACTTGTAGCTTGTCTTTGCAAGATGTCTGTCTTTAAGGAAGAAACAGCCACAGACTAGGGGAAACATTTACAGGAACATGGCCATAGCAATTAGAACCTTAATCCGATCTGGAATTCTTACCTCCCCAGGTACTTCCTACTTGTGGAGCAGCAGACATAGGATGTACAGGATGTACAGACGGATGAAAAGTTGGCTGCAAATCAAGCAGATCATTTGGCAGCTTTGAAGTGCTACAAAGATAAATTAATACAACTGTTTGAACTACATCACGGTTTTCAATACAAGGCAAATGCTAGCGACTGTCAACACCACAGAAAGCTTTGTTACAAATTGGTTGTTACAAAATGGATAGAACTAAGCCACAATCAGAAAGTCTGGGGAACTTCACATTAATACTCTGCTACAGAACTGAAAATGTAGCAAGCTAAGTTCTATGTTATGCCAAGTAACCGTTGTCAAAACTGTCTAAAGACAGAAAGACAACCAATCTTCTCATCTTCCTCACAGTCCAACACCAGGGCTAGAGCATGTTATGTTCAGCAACCTTCAGCAATTTTTAAAATAACCTCATGAAAGCCCGACAGTATGACAAAAGCAGACTGACAGAATGAACTCTAATGGGCTGCACCACCAAAATGATGCATCTAAATTCCACAACTCGTATCTTTCCACTGCTGAGAAACTGGCTTACATCTATGAGCTATTAAAGAACTTTGGGGAAAGTAAAATATAAGAAGCTTTGAAACACTTGATCACACATAAGTCGTGTGAATGAAAACTCATGTAAATGCACATTTTAGACTACTCAAAACCAAATTGAGACCTAAGAACATCACATGGAAATGAAGAGTGAACTCTTAAATACCACTGCTGCAATAATTTCAAGAGTCAAACAGGAACAGTAAAATTCACCCTCTTGCAGAGAGTTCATTTCATACTTTAAGTTAGTCTTGGAAAAAAAAAAGAGTACCTGTGTTCACCCAGAACTTTTTAGCACATGAAATGAATAAAAATTTGCACATACAGCTGCTACTATGGACAGAAGCTAAGTCACTGTGGCATCCAAGCATTTTTCAAAATGAGACTGGCACAAGAGTTTAAAGGGTAGTAGCCACATCCTAGATCTCTGCATATTCTCCTGCCGACCCAATCACTTGTATCATTCAGTTTTTACTATTTCATTTCAACAGTGATTGAAATCACATTTTGCCACTACTACTCCTATTAAAAAGCAGCATGGTCTGGCACAGTCCTGTAGTGTGAGCAGCAGAACCAAGATAATTTTCAAGGTAAAGCTTCTTGAAGTTAATGATAGGGATTAATCAGACACATTGCGTCTAATAGCAAGCAACTGAACTTATGACCCAACATACGCCCTTCATGGCAGCTCCTGCTGTAAAATCTGTTCTTTGCTCATAGCAGTCATAGTGCCAGCAACTGAATTTAAACATGAAGACAGACTAGCATTTGGGTTTTTAGAAGAAAATGCTCGTCTTCGCTATGTAGCATTTCTGGCTGTTTGAAAAAGCTTTATCAGATGTTTATGTTTCAGACATCTTAAGAAGCAAGATCAGATATTCAAGTTACTAGTTCAAAGCGTACACCCATTTCAAATATTTTGGCCTCAAGGAAGTTTTTCACTGACAGATTCTCTAGCTCCTTATATGCAATTCAGCTGTTTTCCACATATTTGGTGTCAAGTAATTTCCTACAATAGCTTTCTAATGGGGAAAGAAGGCTGTCAAAGTGCTGACTACTTTAAAACAACAGTAGATTCTTACGTGAGCTCCAACAGAACAACTAAGCAATCCTTTAGGTTTAGGATCACACTTAAAGCAAAAATGCCTTCAGAGAGCTATTTCCTTCTATACTGGTAAAAGCACTGTACCTTCTGCTACTGCTTGATTTGACAGGTATGTTACAGAATGAAGATCACACACTTACTCATACCAACAGTTCCTGCTAGTCAAAGATCAGGATTAGTGTGCAGTGAGTACTCTTGCACTATCTTTGCAAGTCCTTGCAGACAGAGATGTTCCAGATACAACTCAAGACTGCAAAACCTGCCTCTCTTCTTTCAAATCCTGTTTCAGGCTTTCCTTTTTCTGAAAATCTACCAAGAACATTTGTTACCACTCTACTTTTAAAGATCTAGAAATGCAACATTAAATTCAGTATTATCTTCATGACCTCCCAATCTGAACTTGTATTTGACTTTTCCCAAATTAACTTGTAAGGTTCTTTGGGGAGAAAGCATGTGTGTTTTACAGTTCCAACCGTCTGGTTCACTGACTAACAGCAGCTACAAGGGCTGTCAGCAGTTGGTTCATATCAGAAACTATTCTGCAAACGGACGATGAAAACATACTTTATGTTATTTATAGCAATAGGTTATTTTCCCCATCCACTTTACCCAAAACATCATTTCTTATCACGACTAACGTACTCTACACCCAACCAACCTTTTGCAATGTACACTCTGCAGCAGAAATTTAGAGGAAACCCTAGCTGCAGTGCATCTCACAGTGAAGCAACACCATTAAGCATACCTGTTCGAAGAGCTAGGGGTAGAAAAAATATCAATGGCTGGTGTTGTCATTATGCTTCCTCCTGCAGTCGACACAGGAGAAGCTGCAGTTGTTAAAGAGGTATGAGGTTTCTTTGCAAGTTCTTTTAGACGTTGCTCCTGTTGGGAAAGTGAGCTGGCATAAGAAATCCAGAAACAACATTTGTGTATATGACTTCAGAGATAAGTAAAGCAGAACTAAAGAATACTTTTTATTTATTCCACATGCTAGTGTCAGCTACTTGTAATTACAAGAGTCAGTGGTACCACAAGTCCTTCAGAAACTATTTTAACAAACCCTCCACAAGTTGTATGGTATATGTACATAAGATCCCACTTCCAGCGCTTTGCCAACAGTACATGTTCAGTATTAGTAATTCTGTTTTTCCCCTTTGCTCCTTTAAGAATCCTAATAAGCTATCAACAAGAACGTAGGAAAAGTGTTTTCAATTAAAAATTCTGTATGCCTACCTTTAAAGCTTTTAAGCGAGCCTGTTCTTCCTCTAACGCAGCTTGTTTTTCCCTTTCATCAACTTTTGTGAGGGACAGGCCAGTGCTTGCAAGGGAAGAGACTGCATTGGAAAGGGTGGTAGCCCTAAAGTAATTGGACAGGAGAAAAGCTGGCTGTTAATAGGTGACACGTGATAGGAATGTCTAAAGCGCACTTTGCTTGTATCCACCCAGTCTCCTTCTGAACTCTTTATAATATTGGTTATATCTTACACTGTACAAAGTGGTAAGTTTAAATAAGATACGCCATATGAATTGCAAAATGAAAACGCCTGGAAATCATGCTATCTACTCTTATACACTGGATTTTGGATTTTCCCCCTTAAATGTTTCCCCTCCAAACTGCATCCCAGAATTCCTGTTTGAAGCCTTTGCTCTCTTCCTGTTTGCCTAAGGTGGCATTATTCGTAGATACATGGGAATCTCCAATAATCTGGGCTCCAATTCAAATTGTTAATTTAACACATTTAGTTAAAAAACTATCAATGCAACTAGTATATCCCAGAGGAATAGTCTGCAGTTTATCATGATGTTTAAGAGTGTGCAAAAAGATTTAGAACAAATACTTAACTTCTAAAACAAACTAATCTTATAAAAGAAAGCAAATATTCTGAGAAGTAGCTAACAAAATGGTGCTAAGCCCTAATATTGTCACTACTGTAAAAGAAGAACATATAAAATATTACTGCCTTATTTTTTGAACATGCAATAAAGAAATGCTATTTAATTTTGCAAGTCTTCCCCCCAATATTAAGCTTTTTTAAATTTGAAGAACAACGATAATTGCCTAGAGGACTTCTCTAGATTGCACTTTGTGTTTTAGCAAGCACTCAAAATCAGTGAATGCCTTTTACCATAAACATTATGGAGTTTGTCTTGTCTGGAGAACAAGTCCTATGAGGAGCGGCTGAGGGAACTGGGGTTGTTTAGCCTGGAGAAAAGGAGGCTGAGGGGAGACCTCATCACTCTCCACAACTGCCTGAAAGGAGGTTGTAGCGAGGTGGGTGTTGGTCTCTTCTCCCAAGTAACTAGTGACAGGACGAGAGGAAATGGCCTCAAGTTGCGCCAGGGGAGGTTTAGATTGGATATTAGGAAAAATTTCTTTACTGAAAGAGTGGTGAAACATTGGAACAGGCTGCCCAGGGAAGTGGTGGAGTCCCCATCCCTGGAGGTATTTAAAAGACGAGTAGATGAGGCACTTAGGGACATGGTTTAGTGGACATGGTGGTGTTGGGTCGACGGTTGGACTCGATGATCTTAGAGGTCTTTTCCAACCTCAATGATTCTATGATTCTATGATTATGGCTTTAATCCCCAATTACTTTAAAAATCCATTCTTAGTGTAAGGACTTCTGGAAGCATTTCCTTGCTTTTGACAAAAAAAGGATTAAAGTTGAGATATAAGAGTCTAAGGACATTGATAAATAAATGTTGCATACCTTACAGAAGTCTAATTATTAACATCAAATGAACATTTGCATGCAGTAAATGAAAAAAACCTTAGTTTCTCTTCATAAGTTCAAGATTAGGTGTTAAAAGTATAACTACTACACGAGGGATTCTACAGCAAGTGCTTGCAGCTCCTTAGATTCTAGTTCTGTTGACCTAGAAGAAGCTGCCTTAAGTACCCAGCAAAAAATATAACTTGCTATTCTATCATCGCTAATACAATGTCTTCAACATGGCCTACACAAACCTTAGTTTATAATGAAATAAAAAATAATGGATTCAACATTCGATTCAACAATTGTTTAAAAGGACGAGGGCATAAGCACCTGCTTGCAGCTGTGGAATCTTTGATTTTCTTCCCTTCTAGAGAAGCTAAATGTTGTTCCAAAGCATCAAGAAGGCTACTCGGTGCCTGCAAAAAGAGACATTCGGGAACAGATTTGAAGAATCTAAGGCAAAGCAAATTAGTAGTTAAAAAACTTTCAGAGAATGCAACTGTAGGGCAACTGGTACAACAGCTCAGAATACTTAGACTGCATCTTGGCATCCTGTACGTATTTAATTACTTAAAGTATCAGGTGATGTACTCTCCTCACTACATTACTCTGTCATAATGACTCACCAGTAAGTACTGAAATATGTCAAGAGATGTTAAAATTAACAGCTAGGAAACAGCAAGCAGACAATTGGAAGCAGTCAGTATTTCAAGAGACACTAAGAAGGAAATTGTACCTAAAGTAATTTCTATGTGCACACTCTGCAAGCCTTCACAATGATTTACATGGGCATATAGGCAAAAGCAAGCTTGCTAAAAACCACAGCTTCATCATATCATTATGTGAACTCACAGATAAATTGCCTCTTCAAGCATGATAGAAATAAGGTTGTCTTAAAACTCAGAGTATGACAGAAATGATCTATAATATTTTACAATAGGATCACTGCATATAAAAGCCAGGCTCTGACAAGAGGTTGGATTTAATCACAAACTTGGAAATAACTTGGTGACAATGTACGCGAGAAAGCATAAGTGAATGCCATAATGCCAAGTTTTTCTGATTATGCAACCCCAAAACAGACATGCACTGGCAAACGCATAATAGGTTTATCTACCTGTGAGAGATCTGGTATGTCTCCTCTGTCAATTCCAACTTGCTGTAATAAAACAAATGAGCTTTAGAACCTGTTTGCTTTTGTTAAAGGCAAAGATGCTCAAAAAGCAAACAACATTAAGATGAAGTCATGTAAAAAGCACAAACCTGTCCATATACATTTTAAATCTCCACAATCTGAACTCTATAATGGTTGGTTATAATAAATTCTTCTGTTAAATGTATACACATTTGAAGTAGGTGTGTTAGAGATATTTTAACAGATACAACCTTAGAAAAAAAAAACAGAGTAAGAATCAAGTGTTTCAGAACTTTAAGGCTAGAGCAGCTTGCCTATCCCACAATTTATGTGGTAAATTCTCAGCCCTACTGATATAGAGCATATATTTGCTAAAACAAAGCACCTTCAAAGTTTTGTGAAGAAGCTGTTTTGTAAAACGCAGATCAACTTATGATGTTCTGCAGCAGGATATATATTGTCACAATAGAAAGATTAATACTCTCAACTTCAATTGTTATCAACTGAAGATAGCTGAAGGTAGTATCTCTGATAGAGATATTCTGTCAGGACAGACAGCGAGCCAAGCTTTACGGCTTATTTTTTTGTTAGGAGAGGAATTCCATAATACTAGGGCATCAATACAATTAAAAGAGCCACAAACAAAACATTTTGCAAGATAACAGCTTTTTCCTCTATAAACACACCAATAGCCAAGACATCTTTAAAAAAAGAAAATCACACGTTCATCTACTTGTCTTAATTTCTTATTTGTGAAGCTGTTGTTTCATCTAAAACTTATGGCAGAATTGTGGGTTTCAAACTAGAATACAGCTAGAATCATAGAAAGCAGCAGATCACCATGAAGTTACTTTATTTGTTTAAAGCAAGGCTCTTCAAAGAAAGCTCACAATTACTATGTAACCAAGGAAATTAAAAAATGTGTATTTATACACCCTCCTTAAGTAGAAGATAAACCAGTAAGTATTTTGTAGTCAGGTTTTTCAATACAGTTCTCAAATGAACAAATCACCAGGGTAGAGACTGACAAGATGACCCTTGATGGAACTGCAGTTAGCCTGGAAAAAAGTAGTATCTTCTTTATGATAAAATAAGCATTTTATAAGCTGTTTCAAGTAAAGGGCAAAGTTTGAATGACTAAAGTTTACCTCTGCTGACTAAAGTTTACCTCTGCAACTTTAAGGAACTCTGAGATCCGTGTCATTCTAGTGAGGAACTTCTTATATATATCAAGGCCTTCTTTGCACTGGTTCTTTTTCATATCAAAGTATTTTTCTATAAACAGTAAGAATACTCACATTAAATAAGAAATCAAGCATTCTGCAAAGGATATGCGAAGTAAAAGCATATAAAACAAGACAAACAGAAAATGCCTGCAGATCTGTTTTATTACGTTAACTGCAGAAGTCACTATGCCTAACTTGCACCAAATGACAAAAGCTCCATTGAACATGAGCTAATGACCACACGCACACAATTACACCTTACCTTGCAGGTACTAGGTCTCACAAAAGCAAAACCACCCTGAAGAGGACAATCAAGTTTAAGAACAGGTCACCCAAAGAAATATTAA